GCTCTCTCTCCTCCTGATCCTCACTTGGTTTGGTTTGTATCTTTTTGTTTGGTTGGGTTTGGTTTAGCTTGGGTTTACTTACTCTAAATATTTATGAGTCTTGGATTAATCTCAGTTTGGTTTTTCTCATTTCAGGTATTCCCTCTGAGGTTTATTTCTTTAGTATAATTTAATAAACTATTATTTTTGTGAAGTAAATTAATCCTTGTGTGGTCTCCTTTCATGTTACCCCACCAAACGAGCCTGGTGGACGTAACAGTCTGTATGTCAGTGTTAATGTGTCTTTACCTTTAGCAAAATTTTGCATTAACTACTGAAAAAAATAACTTATTTATCAGTTTTGTCAATCAGCTGGTGTGTGTTTCTATGCCTCGTTTTCTTTCTAGTGTTTCTGTGTTCCCGTGTATCTCTGCCCTGCTGTCTTGCCTCCAGCCCCCCCATGCTCACCTGTTTCCTGTTGTGTCTCCTCCAGTTGTTTCTCGTTGTCTCGTTAAGTTTTGCTTTTATATAATGTGACTTGTCATTTGTGTGTCAAGTTATTGTGCTGTTAAGCCTGTATGGTTGTCCTGTCTTTTGTGTTGTTGCCATGCCACCTCCAAGTCTTATGTTTTGAGCTGCCTCCTCAGCATTTTCTTTGAGTTAATAAATCCCTTTTTAAAACCAGAACTCTGCCTGTGCCCTGGGTCCGTCTGCCTCGCCTAAACCTGTAATCATCATGTAATTATTTAAACAAAATAGATTTACAGGTTCTTTCCTACCGTTACAATTTCTACCACTTCCTAGAAATGAAAGTCAGAATTAAATAAGCCTAATATTTTTATACTGTTCAGTTTAAGCATGCTGTAGATTACGCATTTAAACCAATCGTGTATTTTATAAAGTTCACACAACTGACTAGAATTTTCTCAACATACACTATATTGCCAAAGGTTTTTGCTCACCCATCCAAATGACAAAGCAAGGTCCATAAAGACATGGATGGTAGTGTTTGGTGTGGAGGAACTGGACTGACCTGCACAGAGTCCTGACCTCAAACTGATAGAGCACCTTTGGGATGAATTAGAGCAGAGACTGAGACTTCTGTCCAACATCAGTATGTGACCTCACAAATGTGCTTCTGGAAGAACAGTCAAAAACACTCCTGAACCTTGTGGACAGCATCCCAGAAGAGTTGAAGCTGTTCTGGCTGCAAAGAGTGGACCAGCGTCATATTGAACTATATTAGCAATGGGATGTCACTTAAGCTCATATGTGAGTGAAGGTAGGTGAGTGAATACTTCTGGCTTTATAGTGTACATACTGACTTGAGCATAGATTTTAGATTTAATTCATAACCTTCCAGCGCCTTCATCACTCACCTCAACAACAGAGCCGTGCTCTCAGACACTGACCCTGAATCTGACTCTCAGAGTTAAGCTCCTACATCAGCAGATATGAGATGATCTTCAGGCTGTGTAAAAAGAAAGAATAAGTTTTAAGCAAAAGCTGGACATTATGAGATGTCCATCCATCCATCCATCCATCCATCCATTCATCCATCCATCCATCAGTCTTTCTTCCATCCATCCATCCATCCATCCATCCATCCATCCATCCATTCATCCATCCATCCATCCATCCATCCATTTTCTTCCGCCTATCCGGGGTCGGGTCGCGGGGGCAGCAGCTTCAGAAGGAAGGCCCAGAC